ACAAGATACAAAACATTAAAACATGTTAAAAACACAACAGCCTTAAACACAGAGGAGTTTGGACCAGAGCAGTGTTCATACGTCATCACTCAAAGACTGGACACAAGGGCGTGTTTAATATTTCAGTCAGTAACACCTGTTTTTATCCAATAGAGGTGCAGCATTGGACACGTCTTTGTATTCAGCATCTGGAGGAATCAGTGAGGCTCAAGAATGGTTTCAATGCTGCAAAAGCTCTGCTGGCTCTGCAGTACGCACAGAACTTTGAAAGGAGGAGGTCTGTTTACCTGTCAGTTTGTTCCAATGAAATATTCTCAGTGTTGGTTTTATGTCTATTTAAAAAAGCTGGTAGTAATGACACAGGTAGAAGAACGGTTGGACTAAACCTGACCAACGTGATCACTTATGGAATAAAACAGTGTTGAATCATATTACCAAAGCTGGAAACAAGTGTGTGAAGGAAACTTTGACCCCTGTGGTCACACCAACATTATGTCAGATTGGACAGTTTTACTCGACTGTATTGATGTTTCTACAGACAGTCATCAGATGGACTGTTGATTCCAAAAACATTTGATGCATTGATTCTTTTTGTGTCTAAGCTTTGTGTTTGTTGCTTCAGAGCTCAGCAGATGTTTGATGATGTGCTGCAGACATTAGAGGATGAACCTCCAGGCATGCGTCAGTACATCTACCGGTATTATGCAGAGTTCCGCTACTATCACACCCCTCAGAAAGACCTCGGACTCACCTATTACAAAAAGGTACGGATCATCCAAAACTGCATTCAGACTGCAGGTGTGCATACGCCAGGTGCATACGCCAGGTGCATACGCCAGGTGCATACGCCAGGTGCAACCAGTATTAGCGAATGGGCCTCTGAGGCAGACGGACATTTGGAAAGTCGAGCTGTGGACAGTTAACCGTCTGCTAACGTGTCCTGTGCTGCATCCAACAGGCTCTGGAGTTCTGCATCAACACATCACATTGGAAGCACTGTGTGAAGGTTGGCCAGCTTCTCACTCTGCTTTATGCAAAACTAATACAAACTCAACCTGATCTTAGTAAACAGGAAGTAACCTTCAGGTATTCTTTTGCAGAAACTGACGACGATAGCCGAGGGACGCCTCGAAAAGAATCGCAGCGACGCCGCGTCCTATGGCATCCTGGGAGCAGTGGCCAGAGCTGAGGGCAATCGGAGCAGGGCTGTGAGAAATTATGAGCGCGCTCTGGAATTAGACGCCAACAACGACGAGTATCTGTCAGCCTTGTGGGAGCTGGGCCTGGATCTGACCGCACACAGGGAATAGAAAGACCGCCCGGAGGAGAAGCTTCCAGAGGCCGTGTGAAAAAGTTTGTACCAGGAAGGCCACCGTTTGAACGAGGTTCCAGAACCACAGCTCAGAAATGCTCGGCTACGTCACATCACACCTGGGAACCGCTACATCGATCACTACGGCCGTCTCCTTCTGTTTGTCTACCACCACTATGTCCGGTTGGTTAGCCACCACCTGTTTGTCCGTCTGTATCTGCAAGTCCCACAGGATCTTAGCTCGGTCATTCTCCACCACCTCCCATGTTGACTTTGGGGCTTCCAGATGTTTCTGTATACTATGCTGGCCACTTGGCTATGGCGTTCCATGTATGCCCTGCATGCTAGCATCTTGTCTCTGGGTCATCTTTACACAGCCTGCACCTGGGGTCTTACCTGGTGTGGCAGACCCCAGCCTCTAAAAAATAAAAGCAGCTTAAATGTTAAAGAAGAGTTTTTCTGGTCTTTATTTTTAATATCTGACATTTAAACAGCACAGTCATGGCACTCAAACTGGGCACTCCGCATCGACTCACCGGGTTGCCCAACATCACAACTCTTCACATCAACATGATGAAAACAGTCCAACTCCACCCCTGAAGACACTTTGGGCTTTTATTTTGAAGGTCTGCCTATCAGGTTGCAGCTGTACTTCCTCTCCTGATGGCCATAAAATGTTGTTTTATTTTATGTGTGTGTGTGTGTGTCAGTGCTGGGTGGTTTTGTGTGTGTGCGCTGCAGTAAAGTCCAGCTGTGTGTCCTCGGCGGCGGTCAGGGCGCACTCGAGTCTTCTCTGCAACTCGGCGTCAAGCAGCATCGCTCCGACCACAAAATGATCCTGACACAAAGCAAAGCGATAGTCGGTCATCATGACTCACTAAACTTTAAAATATTTTAGTTTGACTTTCAAACCTTCTTCTTGAGGCTTGGTGATGCTACAGGGGGGTTAAAGGTCATATCTTT